GTTCTTGCTGTACTAGAGCTGTGTCTCGTTTTAGTTGAATATCTCTGAGCATTGCCACAATCTCTGCCTCGAACGACCTATTCCATTTATGTTGCCTCGGTCGTCACGTGTCTTTAGACTTCGAATGTAGTTTTCAGTATGTCTCTCATCTCCTCCGTCTCCCTTCTTATTTCTGTGTGCTGTAAGTCTGCAGCTGTTGGTTTTTTTGTGTTTTTTTTCGAAGATTCTGGGTATCATTCTTCAACTGGTCTATCTGGTCTTAAAGTCTCCCTCATTTCCTTCCATTTATGAAAAGCAAAACAAAAAAATCGACCACGTTCAACCTTCTGTAAACAGTATCGGTTATAATCGTGATCTGGTTTCTTTGTGCCAATTATATTGGCTAAGAAATGTTAACTGCACCAAAACTAGCCGCCTACCAAAAACACGGTGCAGAGCACGAACTCCGTAGCTTCGGTGACGATCGCAGGGGATCTCGCTAAAATTTGCACTCGTGAGGCAAACGGCATGACAACTTCGCCAAAGAGACCCCCGTCACATGCACATACATGTACAAGTACACTCAAGGTAGACGCCGTCGTGCAGCGGCACATAGAGATCCCCGTACACTTAAGGAAGACCTTGTCGTGAAGCGGCACATAGAGATCCCCGTACACTCAAGGAAGACGCCGTCGTGCAGCGCCACATACAGACCCCCCCCCCCTCCCCGTACACTCAAGGAAGACGCCGTCGTGCAGCGCCACATACAGACCCCCCCTCCCCCGTACACTCAAGGAAGACGCCGTCGTGCAGCGCCACATACAGACCCCCCCCCCCTCCCCCGTACACTCAAGGAAGACGCCGTCGTGCAGCGCCACATACAGACACCCCCCCCCCCCCCACCCGTACACTCAAGGTAGACGCCGTCGTGCAGCGCCACATACAGACCCCCCCCCCCTCCCCGTACACTCAAGGAAGACGCCGTCGTGCAGCGCCACATACAGACCCCCCCCCCCCCTCCCCGTACACTCAAGGTAGACGCCGTCGTGCAGCGCCACATACAGACCCCCCCCCCCCTCCCCGTACACTCAAGGTAGACGCCGTCGTGCAGCGCCACATACAGCCCCCCCCCCCCCAACCGTACACTCAAGGAAGACGCCGTCGTGCAGCGGCCAGACGCTCGCCTGTTGACCAGAAGGCAATGGGTTCAGGTCTTGCGCCGGATTTTGTTCTCTTAAAAGACCCTAGTTTTTGTAGGTCGACCCAGCCTTACACTGGCACTAGTGTTGTCCATGACATATAAGCTAGGAGTTTGCCCATGTCGTGTTATTGGAGACTTGGTCACTAGTCTCGGTCTTTTTGTTTGTGTATGGGACACCCCCTCAATATCCCTACTATATGGCATTGGCAGCCTTGGTCGGTTTAAGTGGTTTCACACAATTAAATGTCTTCTCCTTTATTATTATCCTTCATCAATTCCTTTTTCTCACCTCACTGTCTCTGACTTGTCATATCTTTATCTATAAAGACATATTTTTACGTGATCTGCAAATGAATTTCTTTGTTTCTCTATGTTCTCATTGCTGTCAACATGCAAGCATTCCTTGGATGTCAATTACTTATTTAGGTTTTGAAGTCTTCCAAGTAATTCCTTTCAAGTTTGTATAGGGTGCATGTTAGTAGGAAGTGATCTATTTTGTTTTCCTGAAAGCAGTCACAGCATAAGGGTGCTGTCAATTTGGCTTTCCGGTAACAAAGTCTTGATCTTTAATACATGACGCTCTGGTCCTAGGCTCACCCAAGGAACTGTCACGTTCTGCACATGACCGTTCTCACATCTTTATGCTGAACTTCCCAACCGCTACTGGCTGTGAGCTCCGGATATCATTTTTTTCACGCATGGGAAAAGCATCTATCGCATGGGAAAAGCATCTAACGCAAGGGAAAAGCATCTAACGCATGGGAAAAGCATCTATCGGGCACAGCTTTCCAAGTTTTATTCCAACATTCTGACGAGTAGGGCTAATGGTAATGGACATCTAAACTTTTCTGTCAAATGTATTGACTTTTGACGGTCGGTCATTTAGACGTTGCTGTTATGCCGTAGGACAGAGGTTCTCAATTTTTGTGACATGGCGAAAACAGTTTGAGAAGCGCTGCTGTAGGACACGTGACTGACGGACATTTGAGCTTAACCAGCTGATAGTGGCAGACTGTTGGGGTGTACTTCAACCTGGTGATGACCTTAGGGGTTTACAAACAATTTACAGAGACAGGACTGTACCGTGAGATACCACCCTTAGGAGATGTTGCTTGTATAAGTTGCAAACAAATCTGTTGCTCTAGGGCTGGGTTTCAACAGTTGATTCACTGGATAGACATTTGAACCAGTTTTGTCTTATAAATAGTAGGACATTTGGCCAGCAGGCTTCACTCGTGTTCCAAATTAGTTTTCGCTAGACATTTTCATCCATGCATTGAGGGTTGTTTAATCAGAGCCGGGTGTTTTCTGGACACTGCATCTCTAGGGCCTACCAACTCAGAAATCCCCTGCCAACTCAGTTCAGACCTATATTTGCCATTATCCGTAGGGCACGACAAGGACGTGTCACAGGAGTCTTGCGTGAGGATCCGTCAACCCAACACAGAGCCTGCTTGTGCCCAAGTTGAGGTGCAGAAAATCTCCTTTCACACTTCACCACAGCCTTCAATTTCCTGCATGCCTGTGACCAATATCCCTGCGCAACAGGTCGTTATTTTGATAGTCAATGAAATACAAAGAAAGAAAGGATGATAAGCGCTGGCAAAAAATTAGCAGCTTTTAAAAGCTTGAACAAAATATGGAGCTCTAAATTTTAGTTTAAAGACCAAGTTACATATTTTCCATTCTAAAGTTACTTCAGTTTGAACATTTACCAGTGAAAGTTAAAGAGCAACAGTTCTCATCTGCCGGTCGCTTCCCTTTTTGGTGAACAGACACACGCCTTCCCAACAAGCATGTCATAGAAATCGACTAATTGGGGACTTCCTTCAAAGTCGGAGTGCATCTGCCTGAGCGGGGGGGAAAAAACCAGCTGCGTACAAATAAGCCATTAAAACGGATTTATACACAAAACTCAGGCCATGGCACGCAGCTAAAGTCAAAAAGAACGAACAACCAGGACTTTCCGCTGAAACTTAAAGTTGGTGAACACAGAAGAACAAATACTTTTTAAAACAAATGGCCGAGGAAAACAGTGAACACACAATGGGATGAATTTAAAAGGTGTAAAGAAATAAAAGAAATGTCTAAACAACCACTGGTTAAAAAGTAATAAAACAGAGAAGACAGATAACACTATATTGGACATATTCTGAGAATTGAACAGAGGTTAACTAAACAGGCACTAAAATAGGAAATAAACAATCGTGAAAGCAAGAACGTCCAAAAGAAACCTTATATAAACATTTATGAGACAGATTAAAGATACTGGAGTGGATTCCATCCATGTTATCCAAGGGATTCCACAGGATAAGACAGAACAGAGGAACAGACTTCCAGCATTATGTGACATATAAAGGCACAAGATAACAATGCTGATGAACTGTACCACTGTCTATTTTGAGTTGAATGCTGATGGAGGCTTTCAATGTTCACTTTGTCATTTGTGACTGTAGTACTGTCAAGCTGACTTGTTCCAGGTCTCACCTGGCCTGATATTTTTGATGGTCCCTCAGCTGACTAACCTCAGAGAAACAGCATATAAAGAATCTGCAACTCAGTATAACTTCAGTTTCAAATGTATGTTATTTTTGTGTACTGGTGTTCAAGGCCAGAAAACAGCAGAAGTATTCACGATGTGATTTATTTCAACAGGAATTTATCACATGTAATTATCATACAAAGCAAATCTCAGGAATATAGCCACTGACACTTTTCTGTGTATAAAACTTCATAAAATCTGGTATTTTACATTCAATAAAACAAACATTGTATTTCCAGCTCAGGAAACAAAGTGAATAAATGTACAAAGCAAATCAAAGTTTACAGGAAATGGGGAGATGGAAGAAAGTACAAACTTCTTGAAAGCACAAAATTCTTCTTTCCTTCTGTTTTCAATATCTGCTTTGTGTCATCAGATGCCACAGTTTAACAGATGATAGGCAGCTGAGCCAGGGCATGCTTGGTTGCTTGGTATGTTGTGCCGTGACACACTGAGCAGGCAATGGCCCTTTATCTTCTTCTTTCTCATGCCGCTTACCTTACCTTCCCAGGACTTTACCTGGAACTTACTTTAAGGTAGCTCAACCTAGAAAGCAGGGTCATTTTTTTAATTTAAAAAACCTGACAAAAAGGATTCCAACCCAAGATCTTTGGGCTGGAGGTGAAACATCTAACCCCTATGCCACGTGGACAGCATTCCTATAATTATATACATTATTTATGTATTTACACAGCTGACGCAGTTTACAGTTATATAGATACAATACTAATGCCGTTGTGTATTTATGCAGCATACTTCCCCTATAGTTATTAATGGGGATTATCATCACAGTCTTGGGAACGATCCATAGGTGCTCTAATCTCCTCCTCAGTAGCTTCACAAGAGTAAATTGACTAATCACACCAGTTCTGTGTTGATTAAACAGGTCTCCTATACTCTTAGTGAAACGCTCCAGTCTGGTTCTTCCAGGTGGCACATCCACATCCACCAACGTGGACAAAGAAACTGACTTGTTGTCGTGATCTTCTTCAGGATATGCTCTCACATGGCATTAATGACATCATTCCTGCTCAGTACTGGCCCAGTTATAGTAAACAATCTTCTCTGCCAGATAATCTGCTGTCTCATTGCCTTGAACACATACATGGCCTGGCAAAATGATGGCTGGGTGTGTTACTTTTGACGCACTTAATGAGATATATTTATGAGCATTAATGTCTTTTATGCCGCTGATTTCCATTAATTTTCTATTTCAATTTTTATCTACATAATTCATGTATTTACAAAGCTAATATGCTGTAACCATATACATTAGCATCATATGTCTAACAGAACCTCTGAGCAAGTGTCAACATCCATCGCAACAACTGAATTGCCCAAACTGAGTGAACTGATGTTATTAACTTTGCTTTCCACATTCAAGGGTGACACAGAAACATCATCTCCCAGAGATATCATCGGCAGAGGTGACGCTAGCATGATGTCATTATCGAATGTTACTGCACTATCATCATCATCATCATCCTCACCATTTTCCTGAGCAGCAAATAATGTGGAATCTTTGCTGCAGAAAGAAGAACTGCCCTGAACATCTGGCGACAGGCATGGAACACTTTTATCGTGCTCTCTTTCTTCACTCTCCAGCGTGGCACTGTGAATGTTTTCCTCTGGCAAATCATCGCCTTTATCTACAATACCACCAAACTGCATAATCATCATATCAGCATCGGAGCCCAGCACACAGGAAGTTTCATCTTCAACCAGCCCAAGTTCCCTGGCCAGTTCGTCAGAATCCGTCGGCACATTTAAATTAATGTCAAAATTATCTGCTATAAAGTTATCTTCCTGATCATTTGCCCTAACAGAATGATTACTGCTCTGACTACTGTTACTTTCTTCATTATCCAAAACACTGAGCTGGGAGGTTTCTTCTGCTGGCATTAGTCTGTCATCATTAGAGCTTTCACTCTGGGGTTCTTCAAACAGTACTGGCTTTTGGCTGTTTTGATCCCCAGAGGCTAAGGTTGATTCCTCATTATCGTTATCATCATTATCTGAAGATGTATCAGCTTCTGAAGTTTGATATCCATACTGGGTCAACACAGAATCTGGGATTCTCTCAACAGCAACTTTTGGCTTCAAATTGAGAAGCAAAGGCCGTTCTTTTCTGTCAAGACAGCTCTTACTTTCTCTAGCTGACATTTCTGAAAACTTTGGCTCGAGGGAGCCATGATCTGTTGCTAAATGTTGCTGCACACCTGATCGATCAGGGGCAGTGTAATCACAGTAACCACACAGAAAACTACCAATGCTCAAATGTGTCTCTGTGTGAGAGTCGAAGTCGGCTTCTGTCTCGGCTAGGAAAGGACAGTAACTGCACTTGAGTGATGATTCACCAAAAGAGTTGTCCGCTCCCTTACGTTTGGATTCTTGATGTTTCTGGGCCAAGTGGCGGCGAAAATGATACAGACTCTCAGAGGAAAATGAGCATTCATTGCAGACGTAGGTGGTAGGTGCTGCCTGGCTTGTTCTTGCCACTGTCGAATAGAATTTAAAAAACTGACTTTAACAATCATGTCACAAATAAATTTATTACGTAACAGAGTTTTCCAGACATTATTGACAAAATACTGAAGAGGCATTTGATGATCAAGTAGATCAAAGGGAAACAGAGATGAACAAATAAATTCAGGAAGAACATAAGTTAAAATCTGAAATAATTTCAGTAGCACTAATGTTGTTGTTGTTGCTGCTTTCACCAGTTTTTAAAAAAATTTAAAAAATGAGTTGTTAGTTGTATGAGTAAAGTAAGTAAAAACATATTTTAAAAATGAGTTGGTAGTTGTATGATTAAAGTAATTGAAAATGTTTCAAAAATGAGTTTTTACTTGTATGAGAAAAGTAAGTAAAAACATATTTTTTAAATGAGTTGTTACTTGTATGAGTAAATTAAGGTTTCCCTTTTCTTTTTTAAGTTGGTACATGTGAGAGTAAGTAAGTACAAATGTGCTTTTTTTTTTTTTTTAATAAGCCGGTACTTGTACGAGTAAAGTAGATTTAAAACAAAATGACCTACTCAAGTAAATTAGTTTAGTACTCAAATAAATCCTCCAATTTTAGCAAGTCGGCAAATATTGTAGTAGTTGCTGCAGCCTAGGTCATGCTGTGTGTAATGTGTTTTCCAGAGTTTACCTAATGTCTACATTTAATTCAAGTGCAGAGAGGTATGAATAAATAAATACAGATATGGTCAAATAAGGCAAAAATAGGGAAATGGACAAGGTAATCACATAATACATAGTATCACAGAAAGTTTTTTTTTTTTTTTACACAGTGGTAAACACAGGTAGTAACTGACAGTTTGTCCTTTTTTACAGCAGCAACGAGAACGACACATAAACATAAACAAGAGAAAATGTACAACTACACTTTCTTACTGAAGCAATACAAATGACAATGAAGGCATGCTCATTCTCTTTTAATATCTCTAACAATTTTACTCAAGTCATGCTTCAGTGATCCATTGAAGAAATAGTTAGTATTAAACAAAGACAGACTCAAGATGCAACGAAACTATTTGAAAACAAACAAACAATGAAAACAGTCGCAGACTGCAATGTCCTGAAGCAATACCAGCTGAAATACAGAAACAATAATTCTAAACCTGAGATCATATGAATATAATAAATGTTAACAGCACATTAGTCTTAATACAGAAACAAAAAACCTCCAATCACCTGATCTCAAAATAAAATTAGTCAAAGACAACATTTTGTTATCAAATGATGCAATTGTTTAACTTTAAACAAAGAAATAAGAATGGCTATAAAATCTGCAGGACAAGAATCAACACTGCCAGGTTTAACAAAAATAAAGTTGCTTAAAAACTCAGCCTAAGATCTAAGCACACACAGGACTGTAAAATGAAGGAACAAAACTTGAAATTTCTTATCATAAGCTCCAAGGATGAAATCAATTAAAATAGCCTTATTATAAAACTATAATTTATTAACAAACACAACTAACAAAATTCTACACACACAAAAACCAAATAGATTTTCACAGCAAATATAAATAAATATATTATAAAGTATACAGAAATGCTAATAAACACCGAGATCACATAAATGATCAAGAGATTAATTTAACTGTTCAAAGATAAAGGAATACAAGAACTAATCAAAATGTCAGACCACACAATTTATTAGAAATAATTGCTAAAATAAACTCAGACTAAATAATAAAATAATTCAACTCTTACAACAAACATAGAAATAAGACTAACCAAAATCTCAGATTATAAGAGTTAATTATCAATTAGAAAGAGGGGGCTAATAAAATCTCAGATCATGTGATCCAATGAGAAAATAATTAACTCTTAAAACAAACACAGAAATAAGAACTAACCAAAATCTCAGATCACATATGCTTGAAGTCATTTACATGCTGTCCCTGATACCTACTTTCATCAAGGAAAGATAAAAGAATATATTATTTGCACTTATTTAACTTACAGAAGTTGCCAAACTGAATTCCAAAAACATTCTTGCAATTAATATAACTGTTACGAGTATATCTTACACAAATAAAATCTTACTTCTGTCTAATTTAATAATTAGTCAAAGCAGTATATATTTTTCACACATCATTATTAATGAGAACAATTGATTTTAAACTGCTACATTACAAAAAATTACTTTCATAATCCGACACCAATAATGTCATAAGAGTCAACTGATTTGGAGTTTCCTAAGTCAGAATGCATCCAGCTGTGTGGCGAGGAACCAACAGTCTGCATACAAATAAGCCAGATCTATAAAACAGATGTGAATGCAAAACCCAAGATCTGGAACTAGACTAAAGTCCAGAAATGAACAAACAACAAGAGTAGAGTTTACAGCCGGTGAACGCAAAGAAGAAGGAGATTATCATTATGTATTTTCAACAATTTACTGACATCTATAGTTAAGTGTAGATTTAATGTTTTCAAGTTCATCACTGGTCATACATGGTAACATTTTCAAAGACAAAAGAACTGCAAAATTGATTAATCATTTGCAAAACTAGAAAGCAATAACAAAAATCAACATAAAAATTTGATATGGAGAAGCTGTGAGAATCAGTAGCATATACACACCCAGCATCTCAATACTGACTTCCAGTAGCATATACACACCCAGCATCTCAATACTGACTTCCAGTAGCATATACACACCCAGCATCTTAATACTGACTTCCAGTAGCATATACACACCCAGCATCTAAATACTGACTTCCAGTAGCATATACACACCCAGCATCTTAATACTGACTTCCAGTAGCATATACACACCCAGCATCTAAATACTGACTTCCAGTAGCATAAACACACCCAGCATCTAAATACTGACTTCCAGTAGCATATACACACCCAGCATCTCAATACTGACTTCTTCACAGATCTGTGCGACAAGGACAATTGGCTTACAAACAGCATCTTGTCTCAGAGAACTAATATACTCTAGCCATATCAAATGTCATGGCAGATGTAAAACAACCATAGTAGAAGGCATAGCACTAGGCAAGAGGAGCAGGGTATGACCAATAGGAAGATGGCCATAGGTTATGAGACACCTCAGGCAAGAAGTACATGATGCTGGACAGGTGGTGAGGGACCAAGTTTCTTTCAGGCAGGATGTGATGAGCCCTGCTACATAATGATGAGACAAAGATCATGTAGAGACTCAAATATACTGACATCAGCCACACTTTGTAGATGATCACAGTGTCAGACAATCAGATAAAACTACCATCTAAAAGCAAACTAAAGGTTTTAATAATGTCCATCAGGGGCTTTCAGCAAGAATTAACATTTTCCTCATTGGGGCGAAAAAAGGACGGTGGTGTTGTGCTAGTTTACATTTAGTTGTGAAACCTTCACCTCCTTCGCTCTTAAAGTGAATCAAGGCTCACATTTTCACAAAGACTATAAATAATCTGTTATGAGCAGGTTTTATAATTTGTTCTGTGGCTAGATGCCAATGGCCTATTTTGTGATTTCCAAATGTGGGAGGATCTTTAACTTTTTTCCATCCTGATTTCTGAGATGTCTTAACAATAAACACTCTCTCTACAGAACAGCTGCCGTCTTTTAACTAAATATTAATGAACCACACAGCCTCTAACATAGTGAAACCCACACTGTCAAATCCACATAGTGAAATCCACATTGTCAAATCCACATAGTGAAATCCACATTGAGAAACAAATCAGCATCTAAACAGCTTCTCATAATTATCTCTTAAAATATAATTTATCTCTGACATAGACTGGGTCAAGCTTTGAGTACAAATAATTTTTTTTTTGCAGAAATGTCTGCCCCAAGGGTAGTCAAAGATCCCATCTTATGGTCAGCAGGCAAGTGTGCCAGGCGCTATGTCGCACTCTCCATTGTCAAGGGATTTCTACCAAATGCCCAGAGGTGAGTAAAATAGGCAGACAGGTAAAAGAAGAGTTAATAAAGTAACAGACAATGTTTTGATCAGCACTCATAGAAAGAAGTAGAAAGATAGAAGAACACACTAGATAACATAAAAATCGAAAGCTCTAGTTACCGTGCCGGGAATCGAACATGTCACCTCCAAGACGGCGTGTGCACCTCACTATGGAAATAAGTGCACTAAGAACATGGTCAACTAGGCACCCCCACACAAAAAAAGGTGTCTTATTGGCCATGTCTATCGTACAGATTGAAATCCACAACCATGGAATACTGACATAATTCATTTCAAACCATTGAAGTGGCACCATAGGTTACAGAATTTTATATTAACGAAGCATAGGTCAAATAACAAGCACAGCAACAATTTACAAACAAGAAGAATTTACGAAAGAAGAGTTAAGATACACAGGCAGTGATTTGCTGGTAACTTACAATCACAACAACATCCAAATATCAAACTGAAACTATACAGAAATGCCCAACAGCATGAATGTTTCAGTTCAATCTGGCATCAAACTCTAATCCACCAACAACAACAACAAAAAACAAATAAAATTGTTTCTGCAAAGGTTGGTGTAATAAGAAGAATGAAAAGCGGTGAACACAAATTGAAGGAATAATATTATATTTAGAAAGTATATACCCAACACCAGTAGTAATATCTGCAGAATACAGCAGATCTTCTTCTTCGTGTTCACCGGCTGTAAACTCTGGCGGAAAATTCTGGTTGCTCGTCTACTTCTGGATTCTAGTACTGTTCCAGAAACTGAGTGTAGCGTGCACATGTTTCACAGGTCTAACTAATTTTCCCGCAGACTGTTGGTGCATTGCTTCTCAGGCAGATGTACTCTGACTTCAAAGGAAGCTCCCAATTGGTCGACTCCTATGACATGCCTTTGGGCAGGCAGTGGGTCTATTCTTGTTATCCCCACAAAGGGTCTCCAGAACCCACAAGGGGGTGAATACTGTAGATAAAGGTGCCCGGCTCTCTAGCGAAGTTGGTTAAACCGGACTTTCGCGGCGGCCGGGTGACGAACTCCTTGTGGTCCAGGTTCACTCCCGGGGGTAGGCAGAAAAGCCACATTTCTCCCAGATTAACGGTACCTATAATGGAATCAAGGCCGAAGGGTTGCGATATCCATAGTACCGAGCCAACCGGTTTACAACTCATGGTTTCTGGATACGTAAAAAATAGTTTTTAAAAATTTTTAAAAAGTAGATAAAGGTCGGCTTCTGATTATCGGGGAGGGGGGGGGGGGGGGCCTCCCCTTTTATGAACATTCTAGTCTGTTTATCCCCATTCCACTTACTCTCTTTGGGGATAAGCCCACCTTAGTCGGACCCCTAGATGCCTTACTCCTATTATGCATTTATATCTTTTTTTTTCAGCTTTAATGTGTTGGTTGAACTGTCAACTATATAAGCTGATAAGCTGCTATATGTGCCTACCCAATAACCACACTGATCTTGCAAAAGGAAACATGCACCCCGATGACCTGGTCAACTGATAGAAACGTCTACAAAGTTAAGTTACAAGCTGCATAAGTTCAAGCTGGCACAAGAATAAGTGGTAGATGTACACACACACACAAACAAAAGAGAGAAACATAATCAAAATATTAAATCTTGAGTAATGTTCAACAGAAAACCCTCAGCACAGGTCAGTCAGAAACACTTGATTCAACACAGAGAAATATTAAAGCTGGAAAAAAAAAAACATATTGAGAAACTACACAAATACAGTAACATAAATTATAGATATGGACAAGATTGAAGGAAAAAATTTGCTAAGTGTAACAGATTAAAACCAGCAACCATAGACAAATGATAGAAGGGTAGACACAGAAGAAAGAGACAGATAGGCAGAGAAAGAAATAGACAGGATACGAGAATGAGAGAGAGAGTGCTGGAAAGGGACAGAGGGTACAGAGACAGATGAAAGAGAGTGGAAACCAGAGAAAGACACCAACAAAGAGAATAAGACAAGGAAAGAAAGACACCCCCCCCCCCCCCCCCCCACACACACCCACAAACACTGCCAGCACCTAAAGGAAGACAAAGCATCCATCAGAATTATTCTCTGAGATTAAACTGTTACAGATAAATGATTCATTTCTCGTAGCTTTGAGAACTCTACTGTCATTAACTGGGGATAAAGTGGAAATTGAAAATTGGGGGAAACACCTTGTCGAAGTTAACCAATCATCAACACTTAGAAATAACCTATAAACACTGACTTCCCAACCTCTAATTGTTAACAGCTGCAGCGCTGATTTTTAGAACAGGCCTCACACTCTCACTCATTCACCCTCACACATTAACTTATAAATCTACACACAGAAAGATTACCTTAAAAGCAGCCTTATTTATGTTTTTCATATAAAGCAGCAGTGTTCTAAGTTAAGCAAAAGTTATGTAATGTAAAGCAAAAGTAACCCTTTCGCTGTGAAAATAGATTACCCCATTATAATCTCACTTTAAAATGGAAAGATAGCTGCACAACAATCCACATGTAGTTGATATAACTAGTCTAAAAGGAAAAGCTCTAAACTAAAATAACAGATAGATAGATGCAAGTCCTTTTTAAGAGTCAGAGGTCAGTATACATTGGTTAAAACTCAAGTCTTCCCATGACTTACAACCAACTAAAGCAAGGTATATTACTTGCATAGTACTTACGTGTTCACACAAGGGTATATTGTGCATTCAGTATTTTAGGTGGACGTAACTTTGTTAGTAAACTGCACAATAATGCACTTTCTAACTAATGGTGTCTTAGCTGATTCAGTTGTGTTTCACACATGTGACCTTACTTTTAAATATATCTTCTCAAAAAACACTAATTCTTTTTAGGAAAGAGGGGAAAATTTGCTTTAGATATGTTCTGTATTTTCAATACATGTACTCCAATTTCAATTTCTGATACTTTTTCTGCGAATGATTGCACGACATTACTGCTATGGGCAAGCATTATCTTAGTTTTGGTACACTGTATCCCACTGTATCACACTGTATCCCACTGTATCACACTGTAATCCACTGTATCACACTGTATCCCACTGTGTCCCACTGTGTCACGCTGTATCACACTGTATCACACTGTATCCCACTGTGTCCCACTGTGTCACACTGTATCCCACTGTGTCCCACTGTGTCACACTGTATCACGCTGTATCACGCTGAATCCTGCTGTATCCTGCTGTATCCTGCTGTATCCCACTGTATCACACTGTATCCCACTGTATCACACAGTATCCCGCTGTATATTGCTGTATCCCACTGTATCACACTGTATCTCGCTGTATCACGCTGTATCCCACTGCATCCCACTGCATCCCACTGCATCCCACTGTATCCCACTGCATCCCACTGTATCCCACTGTATCACACTGTATCACACTGTATCCCACTGTATCACACTGTATCCCACTGTATCACACTGTATCACACTGTATCCCACTGTATCACACTGTATCCCACTGTATCCCACTGTATCACACTGTATCACACTGTATCACACTGTATCACACTGTATCACACTGTATCCCACTGTATCACACTGTATCCCACTGTATCCCACTGTATCACACTGTGTTGAACTAGCATTGTTTAAATTTTTGGTACACTATTACAAAACTTTGATTTTATAGTTTCACATGTTGACAGACAGTACAACATTGTCACACAAAGACTAGGAAAAGTCAATAAGTAAATATACTCATACAGCACAAACAAGTTGCAGTGCAAAGAATATATGTGCAATAATAAGTGCAAGCATGCAAAGTTAGTAAACCACACAAACAAAGCACTGGATGAAGCCAATAAAAGTTCATGCAAGTTGAGATTACTGTCAACATTGAGAAGATTTAGCTGGAGGGAAAAACACAAATATAAAATGCTTATCCTTTCTTACATTTATCTGAACTGTTGGCCTCATCATCATCTTCAAGTGTGGTGTCTTCTTGCACCGTGGATGCACTGTCCTCTTCACTGACACCTTTACCTTTCTTCACCGAAGTAGCTCCCACTACTCCGGATCTACGGAGATGAATCACCCAGAGTGGCTGCCCTTTGTGTAAGCAATACTGATGCCGCATCAATTTCTCCCTGGAGAGAGAGACAAACATGGAGTCAACTCAAACTCTGCTAGACCCAACAACTGCATGAATGTGGTCACTCGATTTAAACTCTAGCATGATATTAACTCTGGGAGTCACTGTGGTGTAGTGGCTAGACGCTGAGGTGTAGTGGCTAGATGTTGAGGTGTAGTGGCTAGATGCTAAGGTGTAGTGGATAGATGCTGAGGTTTAGTGGATAGATGCTGAGGTTTAGTGGATAGATGCTGAGGTGTAGTGGATAGATGCTGAGGTGTAGTTGCTAGATGCTGAGGTGTAGTGGATAGATGCTGAGGTGTAATGGATAGATGCTGAGGTGTAGTGGATAGATGCTGAGGTTTAGAGGATAGATGCTGAGGTGTAGTGGCTAGATGCTGAGGTTTAGTGGCTAGATGCTGAGGTGTAGTGGATAGATGCTGAGGTGTAGTGGATAGATGCTGAGGTGTAGTGGCTAGATGCTGAGGTGTAGTGGCTAGATGCTGAGGTGTAGTGGCTAGATGCTGAGGTGTAGTGGCTAGATGCTGAGGTGTAGTGGCTAGATGCTGAGGTTTAGTGGCTAGATGCTGAGGTGTAGTGGCTAGATGCTGAGGTTTAGTGGCTAGATGCTGAGGTTTAGTGGATAGATGCTGAGGTTTAGTGGATAGATGCTGAGGTTTAGTGGATAGATGCTGAGGTTTAGTGGATAGATGCTGAGGTTTAGTGGATAGATGCTGAGGTTTAGTGGATAGATGCTGAGGTGTAGTGGATAGATGCTGAGGTGTAGTGGATAGATGCTGAGGTGTAGTGGCTAGATGCTGAGATGTAGTGGCTAGATGCTGAGATGTAGTGGATAGATGCTGAGGTTTAGTGGATAGATGCTGAGGTTTAGTGGATAGATGCTGAGGTTTAGTGGATAGATGCTGAGGTTTAGTGGATAGATGCTGAGGTTTAGTGGATAGATGCTGAGGGGTAGGTGCTAGACGCTCACATGTAGATAGGAAGGTCTTGGATTTGGGTCCCGAAAGAACCAAACTTTATTTTTTAAAATGACCTTGGTTCCCAGGTCAATCCAGCCTTGAAGTAAAGGCGGCCAGCAGGATACTGACCACATCAACCATCAAGTGCTGATTGGTCTATCAAATATAGGTCTAGTGCTATACATGGAGTCAACTCAAACTCTGCTAGACCCAACAACTGCATGAATGTGGTCACTCGATTTAAACTCTAGCATGATATTAACTCTGGGAGTCACTGTGGTGTAGTGGCTAGACGCTGAGGTGTAGTGGCTAGATGTTGAGGTGTAGTGGCTAGATGCTAAGGTGTAGTGGCTAGATGCTGAGGTTTAGTGGATAGATGCTGAGGTTTAGTGGATAGATGCTGAGGTGTAGTGGCTAGATGCTGAGGTGTAGTGGATAGATGCTGAGGTGTAATGGATAGATGCTGAGGTTTAGTGGCTAGATGCTGAGGTTTAGTGGCTAGATGCTGAGGTTTAGTGGCTAGATGCTGAGGTTTAGTGGCTAGATGCTGAGGTGTAGTGGCTAGATGCTGAGGTGTAGTGGCTAGATGGTGAGGTGTAGTGGATAGATGCTGAGGTGTAGTGGATAGATGCTGAGGTGTAGTGGATAGATGCTGAGGTGTAGTGGCTAGATGCTGAGGTTTAGTGGCTAGATGCTGAGGTTTAGTGGCTAGATGCTGAGGTGTAGTGGATAGATGCTGAGGTGTAGTAGATAGATGCTGAGGTGTAGTGGCTAGATGCTGAGGTGTAGTGGCTAGATGCTGAGGTGTAGTGGCTAGATGCTGAGGTGTAGTGGCTAGATGCTGAGGTGTAGTGGCTAGATGCTGAGGTGTAGTGGCTAGATGCTGAGGTGTAGTGGCTAGATGCTGAGGTGTAGTGGCTAGATGCTGAGGTGTAGTGGCTAGATGCTGAGGTTTAGTGGATAGATGCTGAGGTTTAGTGGATAGATGCTGAGGTTTAGTGGATAGATGCTGAGGTTTAGTGGCTAGATGCTGAGGTTTAGTGGATAGATGCTGAGATGTAGTGGCTAGATGCTGAGATGTAGTGGCTAGATGCTGAGATGTAGTGGCTAGATGCTGAGATGTAGTGGCTAGATGCTGAGGTTTAGTGGATAGATGCTGAGGTGTAGTGGCTAGATGCTGAGGTGTAGTGGATAGATGCTGAGGTTTAGTGGATAGATGCTGAGGTTTAGTGGATAGATGCTGAGGTTTAGTGGATAGATGCTGAGGTGTAGTGGCTAGATGCTGAGGGGTAGTGGCTAGATGCTGAGGTTTAGTGGATAGATGCTGAGGTGTAGTGGATAGATGCTGAGGTGTAGTGGATAGATGCTGAGGTGTAGTGGCTAGATGCTGAGATGTAGTGGCTAGATGCTGAGATGTAGTGGATAGATGCTGAGGTTTAGTGGATAGATGCTGAGGTTTAGTGGATAGATGCTGAGGTTTAGTGGATAGATGCTGAGGTTTAGTGGATAGATGCTGAGGTTTAGTGGATAGATGCTGAGGGGTAGGTGCTAGACGCTCACATGTAGATAGGAAGGTCTTGGATTTGGGTCCCGAAAGAACCAAACTTTATTTTTAAAATGACCTTGGTTCCCAGGTCAATCCAGCCTTGAAGTAAAGGCGGCCAGCAGGATACTGACCACATCAACCATCAAGTGCTGATTGGTCTATCAAATATAGGTCTAGTGCTATACGCCTAATATGCCTAAAGGTGTGGAAAAGGGTCCCTTTACTAAGATGTTAACTATGTCAGCCACCGAGTGCAGCCACAAATGTGAGACGAGCATCATATGCCAGATGCATAACTGGCGCTAAAAGAGTTTTAAAGTTTCCTGTTTACAGAAACACTACTGAAGGTACTTGTGGACTAAACAAACAGAACTGCTGTTTACAGAAACACTACTGAAGGTACTTGTGGACAAAACAAACTAAGCTGCTGTTTACAGAAACATTACTGAAGGTACTTGTGGAATAAACAAACAAAACTGCTGTTTACAGAAACACTATTGAAGGTACTTGTGGACTAAACAAACAGAACTGCTGATCATATTCTGCAGGACTACTCATTACATCAAATTCAGATGCACTGCTTTATAATTGACACTAAACTGGTACAATCTGATAAACTAAATATTTTATTGTACATTTTAAAACTGATATTTTTTTAAGGTAATGTCCTTTATAAGGAGAATCATAAACAGAACATCAGATATTTGGGATTAAGTTTTTCATTCTTTCTTTTCTTTGCTGTTGTTATATAGTCTGAGCATTATCCCCCACAATTTTCTTTGCATTATAAGTGGGATTTGTGTTTATAATATATCTAAATATTTTTTTAATCTTTACCAGACCTGTGAGCTGCAGTATTTAAGGTTGTATTTATTGCTTCTCCGTACTATCTTAATATCTATTTATGTTTTATTCTTATCAGATTTCCCGAAACCCTCCTTCCCCAGTCTTCAATCATCACATCCACTTACAAGGAAAAAGATCTGACTGAGTCTTGAGTTAGCAATCTACTCCACAACTTGTATCTGTGTCTTATAGGATTTTCTTGTAAGTCTGCAGCCACCAGCTGTGACTGAGAACACTTCAACCACAAGATGGAGGCATACAAGAGACAAAATTGTCATGTGCACAGAAGGAAAGACCAATACTTACTTTCCTGAAAAAGATCTGCTACAGTAAGGGCAGATAAATCCCTTTGGCTGATGAGATTTCAAGTGAGACTTCATGGCTTGGATCACAAACGATGAGAAATCACAGGTCTTGCACTTAAATCTGTATAAATTTACAAAATCAACACAATGAGTGTTAACTTATATAAAAAAAAATATTATTTTTTCTTTGTGCTCACTGGCTAAAAACTCCAGCAGAAAGTTCTGGTTGTTTGTCCATTGCTGGACTTCAGTCTTGTTCCGGACTTTGACTTTTGTGTGCACATCCGTTTTACAGATTTGGCCCATTTGTATGCAGACTGTAAGTTATTGTCCTCTCAGGCAGAAGCACTGGGAATTCAATGGAAACCCATAATTACTTGACTTCTATGACATGCTTGTTAGTGAGACAGTGAATCTACTCCCCCCCCCCCCCCTGGACCCACATGTGGAATATGATAATTTAAATTGCAGACCATTATTTTCTCAGATTCCTGCAAAATAATGCTAGATTCAAATTCAGCTGAATAACCCACCAGGGATTCTGAAGGTCAGATGGCCATTTTCTCACATCACTGCAAGAGACTGTTAGCTTCTGCTCCAGCTCAACATCCTATGGGAATTTCTTGAAGGATGTGGTTTCTTGTGAACAGCAGTTCTATTAAACTGCACAAGAAAACTCCCAATTTATGTCAATGAAAGCAAAATACTGATATATTAACCGACACTGCTTAACAGACACTGATAGAGTTTAAAAACAAAACCGGTAAGGTACTAGGTGACAAGAAATGTTACCAATGATCATTGTTCTGTTGTGCCATTACATGTCACAAAGGACTCACAGTTTGTTCTTCCATTTGGTTCTATCATGTGCAAATGTTTGAATATCATCCAGCAACTTTAGCTTCTCCCCTAATTGTTTATCATAGGGTGTTTTTCTTGTGGATGTCTTTATTTCCTCAATCAATTTGTTTCCCATTTAAGTGCCTGTCTGGTGATTCTCTGCTTCTCCTTAGGATGTGCCGAACACATCACCATCCTCTTTGTCTTAAAACTGTTGATCCCAGAGGTTATACACAGCCCACTTGTAACAGAGGATCTTAGTGCTATTTAATGGACCATTTCCACATACTGAGTGAGGCATATAGTGCTATGCAGGTATTTCAACAGAATAATCAGCACTTTATGGTGTGATCAATACCACACTTGCCACCTCAACATCCCAGAAAACTATATAGAACCCACTTTAGGCTTGGCTGACCTGAAAGTATAGGTATCCCAACCATAAAGTGGATTAAAACAAATAACCACTGACCACTTTATGGCCAGAGCTCACCAGCAAAACACAAAAACCTTTCAAATATCACAATTCTTGGTTTTCTTCTTCGATCCTTCTGTCAAAAAATGTACATCAGGAGGGCAGATGCCTTGATGAAAGTTACAGTGCTGTCCCTATCTCATCATGTAGCAAACAGCTTTGTCTTTTTGAGGTTGGAACAGGCCAGATCAACTTGCAGTCTACAGTACTGTCCTTATCTCCCCATGTAGCAAACAGCTTTGTCTTCATTGAGGTTGCAACAGGCTAGATGGCGTCTCTGTTAGCAGCATGCAGTCTACAATGTTGGAGTAAATGCTCAGTATTTTCCAGTGCCAAGATGCAGGGACACATATCTGTGTTTCCTACACCACAAAACTTGAACTTAAACATACGATGGTCAAGTCTGTTGTGCCCTATCCTTAGTCTGAAACAGACATATGATTGTGCTCTAGAGAGGTGATCAAGTGAGTCTTGACAGAAAATTTGGTATGGGCATCAAGCCACCTTTCTTGGATACTAGTTTTTATCAATGTCTTAGTGTCTTGCTGTGTTAAGTCACAATGTGACTGCATCATGTCACTGCTGCTTCTGGTCAATTTGTCCACTTTTTCACTGCCTTCCAAGCCACAGTGACCTGGAACCCACGGCAGGACAGATGGTTCTACTGAAGAGCCTCAAGTGACCTGGAACCCACGGCAGGACAGATGGTTCTACTGAAGAGCCACAGTGACCTGGAACCCACGGCAGGACAGATGGTTCTACTGAAGAGCCTCAAGTGACCTGGAACCCACGGCAGGACAGATGGTTCTACTGAAGAGCCACAGTGACCTGGAACCCACGGCAGGACAGATGGTTCTACTGAAGAGCCTCAAGTGACCTGGAACCCACGGCAGGACAGATGGTTCTACTGAAGAGCCTCAAGTGACCTGGAACCCACGGCAGGATAGATGGTTCTACTGAAGAGCCTCAAGTGACCTGGAACCCACGGCAGGACAGATGGTTCTACTGAAGAGCCACAGTGACCTGGAACCCACGGCAGGACAGATGGTTCTACTGAAGAGCCTCAGTGACCTGGAACCCACGGCAGGACAGATGGTTCTACTGAAGAGCCTCAGTGACCTGGAACCCACGACAGGACAGATGGTTCTACTGAAGAGCCTCAGTGACCTGGAACCCACGGCAGGACAGATGGTTCTACTGAAGAGCCTCAGTGACCTGGAACCCACGGCAGGACAGATGGTTCTACTGAAGAGCCTCAGTGACCTGGAACCCACGGCAGGACAGATGGTTCTACTGAAGAGCCTCAGTGACCTGGAACCCACGGCAGGACAGATGGTTCTACTGAAGAGCCACAGTGACCTGGAACCCACGGCAGGACAGATGGTTCTACTGAAGAGCCTCAGTGACCTGGAACCCACGGCAGGACAGATGGTTCTACTGAAGAGCCTCAGTGACCTGGAACCCACGACAGGACAGATGGTTCTACTGAAGAGCCTCAGTGACCTGGAACCCACGGCAGGACAGATGGTTCTACTGAAGAGCCTCAGTGACCTGGAACCCACGGCAGGACAGATGGTTCTACTGAAGAGCCTCAGTGACCTGGAACCCACGGCAGGACAGATGGTTCTACTGAAGAGCCTCAGTGACCTGGAACCCACGGCAGGACAGATGGTTCTACTGAAGAGCCACAGTGACCTGGAACCCACGGCAGGACAGATGGTTCTACTGAAGAGCCTCAAGTGAATCAGCTGCTAATAATACTAAAACACTAGTACTATGCCAGTCACCTAAGTGCAATTTTTGCAATTCTCAACTAAGTGCAGGTCAGGGCTGTTAATCATCATGTTACAATATTATATAAGCACATTTGTTAATCCTACCCAAAATAAGTCAAAATAAAGTATTAACTATACATGTCTACACAATTTTCAAAGAACTCCTAATGTTCAAATGTGCTTTTCTTGAAACAAGTATTTCTCACTTATGTGACTTTGGCATAGTGACCACAAAATATGAAGTGAAATAATGTCAGCTTTCAAACTCACCTCATTGTATTACTACCAGAACTCAGAGTCATCCGTGTGGTGTATCCAACATCCATGGATGCCCCAGGCACAGAGTCGCAATCCACTAAAGCCTCGCCAGTGCTGTCACAGGTGAACCCTCTCTCAATCTCTGTCCACAGAAACTTCTTGCCCGGATGTGTCTCTTTATGATGGATGTTAACACTGCTGACATTACTGGATGTGTACTCGCAGTAGTAACACTTGATTGTGACCTCCTGTTCTGTGCTGATGACTTGTGGTGACTTGCCATGCTGCAAACAAAAAAGCCATCAATAGGTCACCAGAGTAACAAATTTATGAGCTGAAAAGCTTTGATGCATATTCTTTACAGCTGAGTTATTCAATTCTTTTACATCCCCCGACTGGAAAACAAGGAGAAATTGTTTCTAAGATCACAGAGCTGCACCAAATGTGGATATAATTTTATGTTTATATTATAAAATTATAATTTTTACTAACATCTCCTGCTTGGAGGTTTGAGTATGTGATATATGTAGCTAGAGCATCATTTCTAAGACTAGGAATCACTGCAATAACATCCCTTTGATGTCTCCTACTTGTGGCCTAAACTTCTAGCTCCACACTGTTGCATGTGTGTCCTAAACTTCTAGCTCTACACTGTTGCATGTGTGTCCTAAACTTCTAGCTCTACACTGTTGCATGTGTGTCCTAAACTTCTAGCTCTACACTGTTGCATGTGTGTCCTAAACTTCTAGCTCCACACTGTTGCATGTGTGGTCTAAACTTCCAGCTCTACACTGTTGCATGTGTGGTCTAAACTTCTGGCTCTACACTGTTGCATGTGTGGTCTAAACTTCCAGCTCTACACTGTTGCATGTGTGGCCTAAACTTCCAGCTCTACACTGTTGCATGTGTGGCCTAAACTTCCAGCTCTACACTGTTGCATGTGTGGTCTAAACTTCTGGCTCTACACTGTTGCATGTGTGTCCTAAACTTCCAGCTCTACACTGTTGCATGTGTGGTCTAAACTTCTGGCTCTACACTGTTGCATGTGTGGCCTAAACTTCTAGCTCTACACTGTTGCATGTGTGGCCTAAACTTCTGGCTCTACACTGTTGCATGTGTGGCTGGCTCTACACTGTTGCATGCGTGGCCTAAACTTCTGGCTCTACACTGTTGCATGCAGCATCTGATTTGTTCAGTAGCAATACAGTACCTGAATGATGTATTTGCTACTTGACTGGGTGGCATTTTTTGGTAGACCACCTGGAAATGTCTGCAGAGTGGGCACCAGCCCACAGACCACAAGTTAAAGAACACTGGCTTTACAGGACATTACAAACAAACCTCGGCATTTGTTGGCTGTAGTTTCCCTCTACAATGTTATATTTAGTTTGCCACTGTTTCCTGACTGGTCAATGTCTACAGCAATGTCTAAATCAATGCAGTCTTTGCAAGCCTTTAATTATCTCTGTATTTAATGTGTACACTTTTCCTTGCTCAACCTCCCCAAACTCTGTATGAGTTATTGCCTGGCAGGTAAATCCATGGGGTTCTCCAGCCACTACATATCTGTCGGCCTGCTGCGTTCAAGCATTTACAAGGCCTGAACTCATATATAACCGACTATGTCTACAGTGACCCATAATTCCTTATATCTAACCAATTATGTCTACAGAGAACCATTAATACTCATATCTAACCGACTATGTCTACAGTGACCCATAAATACTCATATCTAACCAATTATGTCTACAGTGAACCATAAATACTCATATCTAACTGATTATGTCTACAGTGAACCATAAATACTCATATCTAACTGATTATGTCTACAGTGAACCATAAATACTCACATCTAACCGATTATGTCTTCAGTGAACCATTAATACTCATATCTAACCAATTATGTCTACAGCGACACATAAATACTCATATCTAACCAATTATGTCTACAGTGAACCATTAATACTCATATCTAACCAATTATGTCTACAGCGACACATAAATACTCATATCTAACCAATTATGTCTACAGCGACACATAAATACTCATATCTAGCCATTTATGTTTACAGTGAACCATTAATACTCATATCTAACTGATTATGTCTACAGCGACACATAAATACTCATATCTAACCGATTATGTCTACAGCGACCCATAAATACTCATATCTAACTGATTATGTCTACAGCGAACCATAAATACTCATATCTAACTGATTATGTCTACAGCGAACCATAAATACTCATATCTAACCAATTATGTCTTCAGTGAACCATTAATACTCATATCTAACTGATTATGTCTACAGCGACACATAAATACTCATATCTAACCGATTATGTCTACAGTGAACCATTAATACTCATATCTAACCGATTATGTCTACAGTGAACCATAAATACTCATATCTAACCAATTATGTCTACAGTGAACCATAAATACTCATATCTAACCGATTATGTCTACAGAGAACCATTAATACTCATATCTAACCAATTATGTCTACAGTGAACCATTAATACTCATATCTAACCAATTATGTCTACAGCGACACATAAATACTCATATCTAACCAATTATGTCTACAGTGAACCATAAATACTCATATCTAACCGATTATGTCTACAGAGAACCATTAATACTCATATCTAACCGATTATGTCTACAGTGAACCATAAATACTCATATCTAACCAATTATGTCTACAGTGAACCATAAATACTCATATCTAACCAATTATGTCTACAGCGACACATAAATACTCATATCTAACCGATTATGTCTACAGTGAACCATTAATACTCATATCTAACCGATTATGTCTACAGCGACACATAAATACTCATATCTAACCGATTATGTCTACAGCGACACATAAATACTCATATCTAACTGATTATGTCTACAGCGACACATAAATACTCATATCTAACTGATTATGTCTACAGCGACACATAAATACTCATATCTAACTGATTATGTCTACAGCGACACATAAATACTCATATCTAACTGATTATGTCTACAGCGACACATAAATACTCATATCTAACCGATTATGTCTACAGCGACACATAAATACTCATATCTAACTGATTATGTCTACAGTGAACCATAAATACTCATATCTAACTGATTATGTCTACAGTGAACCATAAATACTCATATCTAACTGATTATGTCTACAGCGACACATAAATACTCATATCTAACCAATTATGTCTACAGTGAACCATTAATACTCATATCTAACTGATTATGTCTACAGCGACACATAAACACTCATATCTAACCGATTATGTCTACAGCGACCCATAAATACTCATATCTAACTGATTATGTCTACAGCGAACCATAAATACTCATATCTAACTGATTATGTCTACAGCGAACCATAAATACTCATATCTAACCAATTATGTCTACAGTGAACCATTAATACTCATATCTAACTGACTATGTCTACAGCGACACATAAATACTCATATCTAACCGATTATGTCTACAGTGAACCATTAATACTCATATCTAACCGATTATGTCTACAGTGAACCATAAATACTCATATCTAACTGATTATGTCTACAGTGAACCATAAATACTCATATCTAACCAATTATTTCTACAGTGAACCATAAATACTCATATCTAACCAATTATGTCTACAGCGACACATAAATACTCATATCTAACCGATTATGTCTACAGCGACACATAAATACTCATATCTAACTGATTATGTCTACAGCGAACCAGAAATACTCATATCTAACCAATTATGTCTACAGCGACACATAAATACTCATATCTAACTGATTATGTCTACAGTGAACCATAAATACTTATATCTAACTGATTATGTCTACAGCGACACATAAATACTCATATCTAACTGATTATGTCTACAGCGAACCAGAAATACTCATATCTAACCAATTATGTCTACAGCGACACATAAATACTCATATCTAACTGATTATGTCTACAGTGAACCATAAATACTCATATCTAACTGATTATGTCTACAGTGAACCATAAATACTCATATCTAACTGATTATGTCTACAACGAACCATTAATACTCATATCTAACTGATTATGTCTACAGTGAACCATAAATACTCATATCTAACTGATTATGTCTACAACAAACCATTAATACTCATATCTAACTGATTATGTCTACAGTGAACCATAAATACTCATATCTAACCAATTATGTCTACAGCGACACATAAATACTCATATCTAACTGATTATGTCTACAGTGAACCATAAATACTCATATCTAACTGATTATGTCTACAGTGACCCATTAATACTCATATCTAACTGATTATGTCTACAGCGACCCATAAATACTCATATCTAACTGATTATGTCTACAGTGAACCATAAATACTCATATCTAACTGATTATGTCTACAGTGAACCATAAATACTCATATCTAACTGATTATGTCTACAGCGACCCATAAATACTCATATTTAACCGATTATGTCTACAGTGACACATAAATACTCATATCTAACCGATTATGTCTACAGCGACACGTAAATACTCATATCTAACCGATTATGTCTACAGTGACACATAAATACTCATATCTAACCGATTATGTTTACAGCGACACATAAATACTCATATCTAACTGATTATGTTTACAGCGACCCATAAATACTCATATCTAATTGATTATGTCTACAGCGACACATAAATACTCATATCTAACTGATTATGTCTACAGCGACACATTAATACTCATATCTAACTGATTATGTTTACAGCGACCCATAAATACTCATATCTAACTGATTATGTCTACAGCGAACCATTAATACTCATATTTAACCGATTATGTCTACAGCGAACCATTAATACTCATATCTAACCGATTATGTCTACAGCGAACCATTAATACTCATATTTAACCGACTATGTCTACAGAGACTCATACATACACACTCATATCTAAACAAGAATATGAAGATACCTGTTTCTTCTGTGCCTTCGGCTCCCCAGCAGCTGCCTGATTGTTCTGTGCAAAATCTGCAGCAGCAGCTGCTGCTGCTGCCTTTTTGGACTGTTTTGAATTACTGCCTTTGAGATTCTTTTTCAAGTTACTTTTCGAATCTTGGAATTTGGAAATAAAATTGTCAGCCTGGGTCATATCAAAGTCTGGATTTCTGACAGCTTCCTCCTGTACCTTCAGTGCAAGCTGGCGTGTGGCTTCCAGTAACTCTTCTACTTTAGCTTCTTTCTTGGGATTCCGCACATATGTATACTGCTCCTCATGGGCTGAAATCAAATGGTAACCAAGTTATCGATAAAAAGACAATTACATATAAAGTGTGTCAGACATTTAAAAACGTTCACTCCTGTGACAACTTTTTTCTCCAAAAATGACCTTGGCTTCCAGGTCCACCCAGCCTTAAATGGCTATACCAGCATAATGTCCTGGGAAGTAAAGGCGGCCAGTGTGATGCTAACCACATCATCCATTAGGTGCCGATTCGTCTATTAAAACAGAAGCTGCCGAAAGGGGTCCTTCACTCATGTAACAACAAAGTTTACTTTGTCACTGTAATACACACATACGGGATTCTAATCTCTTCCTTAAGGCAACTAACATACAAGTGTTTTCGTCTTACGTATTCACTGCCATATCTGCACATTTTGGTCCAACATATTTTATTTCAGACAACTCCTCATTAGTTGCCCTTTATGGCATGCCTGTTTTAGTTACTCATCTTCCTCCGAAAATTAAACCCCAAAATTACACATGGCATACCAGTGTGTGAAAGCCCTGAGAACGGGCTCATAAAAAATGGAAACTAGCTAATTTTACAATCATTTGAGCTGGTTGATGACGAAGAGGTCTGGAGCCGCAACTGTCAGGCATGGTCAGTGTTCTTCAAAATTCTGACACCTGCAGCCCATCAAAACAAGGAATATTGTTTCCTGGACCACCAGGCAAGTGACCAAAACAACAGTTACAAAAGTAGATAGCAGTTTTTTTGGTTTAATCTGATGTCACAAAATTACAATTTTCAACTAAAGATACATTTGCTGCTGTCTATAGGATAGAAAAATCTCATATATGAGTCTCGTACAAAGTCTGCACCCGCTAAGCAGCAATATAGTGCCAGAATCATGTAGCCGTTACAAGATTAGGCGAAAATATTGGTGACCCACTGGAACATTTATGTGGCCCAAAGGTTGAAGTATACTGGCCTATAGTGTGTCAAACTGTAACATCCAATAAATTTTCAAAAACAGTCTTACAAGGAATCTTTGGACCCATCAACAATGCAAACAGTAGGGAAAGGAGAGTGAGAAGCAACAAGGAAATTCATAACCTGTTTAAATCACCATTGATCACTGGCATCATGAGAGCTAATAGACTAAAATGGTTGGGGCTTTTTGAGAGAATGTCAAATGACAGAGAGGTAAAAACTGTATACACAAGGGAGCTGAATCATCGTAGACCACAAGACAGATCAAAAAGACGATGGAGAGATAATGTCCAGACAGACCTGCAAACATTTGGTGTCACTAAAAAGAAAAGGAGAAGACCAAACAGAGAAATGAGTGGAGGTGGGTGATATCTGCAGCAATGAACCTCAAGAGCTCGAAATGCTGAAGAAGAAGAACCCAGTGACAGTATCTGCCACGGAACTATCCTTATCGTACCCCTGACAGTTTCTCTAAAGTATATATGGACATAAGTTTGATACTGCAGTGAGACTGCATGCCCCAGAGCACTGCAAATAGACCTCATAAACAAGGGTACTGCAAATAGACTTCATAAACAAGGGTACTGCTGTGGACACTTAATCCCCAGAATATTGCTGATAAACCTCACAATCCAGGGCATTACTGATGGACCAGATAATCCAGGGCATTACTGATGGACCAGATAATCCAGGGCATTGCTGATGGACCAGATAATCCAGGGCATTACTGATGGACCAGATAATCCAGGGCATTACTGATGGACCAGATAATCCAGGGCATTGCTGATGGACCAGATAATCCAGGGCATTGCTGATGGACCAGATAATCCAAGGCATTGCTGATGGACCAGATAATCCAGGGCATTACTGATGGACCAGATAATCCAGGGCATTACTGATGGACCAGATAATCCAGGGCATTGCTGATGGACCAGATAATCCAGGGCATTGCTGATGGACCATATAATCCAGGGCATTACTGATGGACCATATAATCCAGGGCATTGCTGATGGACCAGATAATCCAGGGCATTAATGATGGACCATATAATCCAGGGCATTGCTGATGGACCAGATAATCCAGGGCCTTGCTGATGGACCAGATAATCCAGGGCATTACTGATGGACCAGATAATCCAGGGCATTACTGATGGACCAGATATTCCAGGGCATTGCTGATGGACCAGATAATCCAGGGCATTACTGATGAGCCTCAAGATCCAGGGCATTACTGATGAGCCTCAAGATCCAGGGCATTACTGATGGCCCTCACACTCTAATACTTCATGCCTGAAGGCACGCTAAGGTGACCTCATAACTCACAGCCCAGGAGATATTACATTTACAACTATTACTCAAAAATAATATTCTTTATTATGTACTTCTGTTAGAAGAAAGTGTTTGGTTTTATTTCTAGCCCCCACAGAGAACTGGTCAAGTCCCTAAACAGATTACTTTAAAATAAACCAAGTAAAGAGTTTGGTTTATACAACGCATCAACATCACATGGGTAATAACCTATAAGTGCTCCGTTCTACTTCTAATTCAAGCCTGACTCTAAAGAATCTCAGTGCAGTGCACAAACTCTGTAGCACCGGCGAGGATCCTGAAAAACTCTGGGTAGATTTTAAATTCCAAATTTTGACTGGGCTGTGCCATTAGGCTTCTCTTTTCGATTTTCAACTACCAAGAGATTTTTTATGTATGCAACAATACACACGGGCACTTAATCTTTTACTACCCAGAAACCAGGGTAAATAACTAGAAGTTCACATGAAAAAATCCCAGCCTTCACCGGTACCTGAGCCCGGGACCGCCAGCACTCACAGACGCCCTGCCTAGAGACCACTTAGCCCCTCTAAGAAAAGAGTAATTTAGTGACAACAGAAACTTTTTTCTTCCAAAACAACTAAAGAAACATTAACTAAAATAACAAAGAGATAAAAAAAATGTTTGAAATAGCAATAGGTAAGTGTTAATTCTGAAAACAACTGTGAAAAACAAACAAGAAGTAAATTAAATCAACAGTAATAAATAAATAAATCATCTAAACAAACTATAAATGTAAAGGGTAATTTCTACCTTGTGACCTGGAATGCCTCCTGCACTGATCTGGCGATGGAAAGAAAGCACCACAAGTGACACAGGTGTAGGGTCGGTAGCTGATGTGACGGTTTAAGTGGTACTTCATTTTAGAGGTGGCCATTGTCTTCACCGAACAAGATTTGCACAAGAAGCGCCAGGCGGGAATCTGTTTGGCCTGGAACAATAACCCTGGATGGTCCCATGTGATATGGTCCTGCATGCGGCTCATCGAAGTCTCTTTGATCTCACAATGACCACACTGGATCAATTCATTGCCCTTCTCAAAGATAAATCTCCTCTTTCGCTTATAGACACCCTCCTCCTCATCTTGCCATTTTCTTTTTACAGCTTTCTTACTTCCATCCCAGCACGCAGAAGAAGCATCTTCAGACTTGGCTGTGCTGGTTTCTACTGCTGGGGAAGATTTGGATTCCGCAGTGCTTGAATCCCCCTGGGAATGGTTATCTCTGGTGTGTTGTAAAATATCTGCTTGCGTGTTGGTTTCGTAGTAGCAATAAGCGCAGGCATAATGTTTAGGTCCTGTATAACTATTACTGTCTTCAGTTTTAACCTCTGGCCGCTTGATGGGGGTGCTTTTCTTCTTCCTTTTGACAATGGGCATTCCCATGAAGGATTTGCTGAAAGACTTCTGGGCATGAGAATCCTCTTTAGTCCGATCGTCTTGATGAGCTTTTTCCAGATGTCTCTCCATCAGCATGGGGCTCAGAGTCTGGTAGTGACACGTCGGGCAAGTGTGCGTCTGGTACTTCTCATGAATCTTGTAAATGTGTCGAACAATGTTGGATCGGTGTAAAGAAGTGAACTTACATTTTTCACAGTAGTACTTCATTATAGGACCTTCTTTTGACTTTAAAACTTTAATTTTTGTAATGACATCCAAAGCTTTAGCCTTACCCCCTGCAGGTGACCGATAGAATCCTGGGACGTATGAACTCCCCGGAGAATATTTCACTGGGCACGAGTCTGAATCCAAAAATTCAAAGCTGGTCTTATCGTCCACTAATTCTTCTTCTCTCTTATAGTCATTGAACTCTTCATTATTTGTTTGTAAGGCACTTCCTTCTTCCATCTGTTCCTCATCTACCTCTGTCTTGACGATAATATCTTTATCACAGCTCTGTTTCTTTTTCCCAAACATTGCAACTACTAAACCACCATGAGGAGTCCTTTGTCTACCTCCATTTTTCTCCTCATTTTCATCTTCATCATCGTCATTATCGTCATTATTATCCATTTCATCATCACTCTGTTTCACTAGTTTGGAAGCAGCCTGCATTAACTGCCTCTTGGACTGTGGCTTCTGAATCAAATCTTCATGGCCTGTACCGCCAATGTTGGCCATGTTGTCTACAAACTGCCGGACTCTGGTTTCAACATCAGGCTGTGTAAACTTGATGTTGATTGGCTTGTCCTTATGCTCCTCCCTCACGTGTGTTGTCACATTATACTTCTCGATTCCTTCAAAAGGGCAGTAAGGACATCCCACAAGGCTCAGCTTTAGATGCTTCAGCATGATGTGCCTGTGCAGGGGATATTTCCTTGGGAACTCCCACCTGCATACCAGACACCTCAGTTGACCTGTAGGACGTTCCTGATACAAACAGCTTAGCTTTTTGTCCAGGGCGTGCCGTCCAAGCATGACAACGTCTGGATCCACCTTCCTGTTGGTCTTCAGATTGCTGGTGCCTGGGACTTTATTCCCAAATCTGAAAGTTGGTGGTTTCATAAACTTGTTGTACTTCATGGAGCCAAATTTCAATTTGGTATTAGGATTGAAGGAAGAGTTCTGATTGTAATCTCCCTCTTCTCCCATGTCTGAATTAGAAAATAAAGGACTGCTGCCTTCACTGATTCCAGAATAGCTCGTATCATATGACCCTGAAAAAAAAATTATACTTGATAATGTTTTTTCTTTTGACACTGGCTTTTTAATCAATAATTTAGTTATATTCACTGAATTTATCAATTAATTTACACTGACATGGCTTATCAATAATTTATTTACATTGGCATAATTTATCCAATGTGATTTTATAGAAGAATGATGAGAATACCCTGGGCAAATAAAAAGAGTAATGAAGATGTCTAGAAAGAAACTGGCCCACGAAGAGAACCGGCTGCCCACATCAGAAAGAGACAATCTACATTCTTTGGTCATCTGATGTGAAGGAGAAAACTGGAGTACATCGTGACAGTTGGAAAGTTGGAGGAGAGGAGAGGCAGAGAGGCAGAGAGAGCTGATGCTGGACAGTATGACCTCATGTCATGGAAGATCGTCTGTGTCAGCGTTGATTGAAAGTACACGAGACAGAAGGTTGTGGACAGACATGACTACCAATGCCACACGGCATGGACCCTTAAGAAGAAAAAGAATTTATAAGTAATACATTTAGATTCTGACACAAACAAGGGAACAGAACAATTAAAAAGGGATGGTTATAATAATGAACAGAATGGACAGAGTTATGAATACCAGCATTAGAGGGAAAGCTGGAATAAGACTATGTCTGGATTAAAGTGACAGTCAAAGAATGAAATGGTTCGGCCATTTAGTGAGAAGGCAGATAGACCTAATTGCACATGAGACTTTTTATAGAACATCAGGGAGGAAGGCAAGAGGAAGACCAAGAAAGACATGGATGAATGGTGTAGCCAAAACCTGCAAAAAGATGAACAAATCCATCATCCAAGCCACCCAAGAAGAACTAGATAAATAGACACTGCGCTACAACCTGGTATCAATGAGATGATAAAAGAAAGAAAAAAGTTTTAAGGAAAAGACCTTTACTGATAAAAGATACAGTTCAGGGCAGTAATTTAAATCTCTAAATGACAGATAACAACATCATATACTCTCTACATTTAATGACAGATAACAACATCATATACTCTCTACATTTAATGACAGATAACAACATAATATACTCTCTACATTTAATTTATTTGGAGTCGCCGTAGGGTTGGCGGCTAGACGCGCGCCTGCGAATCGGAAGGTCATGGGTTCGAACCCTGAAGAAGCCGGACTTTTTTCAAAAATCACCTTGACTCCCAGGTCAATGCAGCCTTGAGTGGGCACCAGGTGTAGTTCTGGAAAGTAGAGGCATCTGGCGTGATGCTGACCACATCACCCACCAAGTGCCGATTGGACTTTAAAAATATTGGTCTAGCCCTATATGCCCTATACTTCTAAAGGTGTGGAAATGGGTCTACCTTTTTTTTTTTTCAATTATTATTATTATTCAATTTACTATATTTTTTTTAATGATAATCTTTCATTAATCAGAAAAATTGTTAGGCAAGCTTGCATGATAAATTTTATCCAAATGACTTCATTACCAATGTAAATAAAGTAACTGATTATTCTGTCATTATCAGTGGAGCCATGGAAGTGCAGAGGGTAAGTGCTTATCCTGTAGGCCCAAAGTCTTGGGTTAAAATCTCTATAGAGGTGACACTTGTTATGTTAGTCTAAAAGGAATACTAAGGAAATGTTCAGAGAAGTAAAGGTGATCAAATCACCCATCAATTGCTGATATGTTGATACAAATATTGGTCAAGACAATATGTATGAATACAAAAGGTGAGAGTAGCTTTTATAGCACTAGGAATTTGTGGAGATCAACAACAACAAAACTTATACTAAACTATAAAAAAAAATTAATTCTAATGTCAAATCAGTACTGTTGTACAGAGCTAAGACATAGAGAACAACTAAGACAATTACTAATTAAAAACATTCACAGAACTGAGGGAAATAAATGGTAAGATAGAATCACAAATTTAGAGCTTTGAGAGAGAACTAAACAAGTTCCAGTGGCCCAAGAGGTGTTGGTGTCGGATAGGACACATGTTGAGAAAACCTGAAAACAAAATACCTAGAATGTATTTGCACTGGAACCCACAGGGGCATAGAAATCAATGAAAACTAAAAAAAAAAAAAAACATGGAGAAAGGAGATAAAAAGTGAAGCTAAACAGACAAGATGATATGGGGATAGCTGCATGCAATAAAAAAGAATAGTACAACTTGGCGTGAGAAGGTTGAGGGCCTATGCTCTATTGTGGTTAGAAAGGCAGAAGAAGACCATATGCCTGCAGAATGTGCCGGTGTGGTGAAAAATGTCCATTTTACGTTACATTTTTTTTTAGGTGAAAAGAGAATGACATTGGGGCACGCTAAGGGAAGACAACTATTATAGCTAGGATACTGAGAAGTGAAGATGAAAAACTATAGCAAAGGGGATATAAGAAGCAGGGTGAAAGATCAAGATTATGGAAACATAGAAGCAATATCATGATGAAGAATCATTATAATAAGAATGTTAGAGAAACAAATGATGGAAGATTGTAATGTGACAATATAAAACTGGATTTTCATACTGTCAGAACTGCCGTACTGTAGACCTATAACAAAACATAGCAACTAAATTATTATTTAGCAAATAACTATGAAGATGACATAGAAATTAACTGGTAATTTTAGCTGGTTCATTACCATGTTATCAATGAACCCAGAAAGGAAGATCCCGAAATGAACCTAACTCAGTATAGATAGATAGGCTCTCCTCCGAACGGCATCATATTATGGCCGCCATATTATGATGCCGTTCAGAGGAGAGCCGATAGATAAATGTAAAGAACACAACAAATCAGAATAAAGAAGCCATGTAATGAATCAACTTACCATTTTGAGCTTTGGCAGCCATTTTGGCAAGGAAGTCAGAAGCCATCTTGTAAAGGTCAATGTCAAGGTTAAGAATGCTGATGGGCGCTGGTTTGTGACAGGTCAAAATATGGTCTACCAGCTGGTGCCTCTCCACACCTTCCATGCCACAATAAGCACAAGAAAGTAGCGCCACCTATTAGACGAAAAAGTGTATCAGATATAGTAGTTGTTTATCCCAGATGTCTTCTTCTTGGCTTTCATTGGCTGCAGCCAAAAGTTCTGGTTTGTGTGTGTGTGTGTCTTGTTCCAAAACTTGAGTTTTGCATGCATATTTGTTTCAAGATCCGCCATATTTGTAAGCAGATTTCAGGTTCCTCACTTTTCAGGTGGATACACAGCTACTTTAAAAAAGACAAAAAACTAGTCCCTAATTAGCTGCCTTTTATGACACATTGGTTATGGGGGCAGTAGGTCTACCCCCCCCCCCCCCCCACCCCCCCCCCCCCCCCCCAAAACCGGGGTCCCGGAACTCACATGGGATACCCCATACAATTTGAATCATGCAATGATTCTTTATGTGCACAATGTGTCATGCAAGACTGTACATATATTGAGTCTTCTTCTTCTCCTGTATTCATCCTTCAAGGTCACTCTCCGTCCTTTTTAGGATGAAATCTTTCGTTATTTGAAGCCCAACTCTGGCTCTTGCCAGGGGCCGTAATATAGCCCGGCCATAAATGGCTGAACACGGTTTCCGAGACCTCTCCACGGGTTATCCTCATCCACATGGTGGCACATTGTGTCATCGGGTGTTTATCACTTGAGTGATGTCCTGGTGGGGTAGAAAGTCAGTCAGTCCTTCAAGCAGTGAGCAGTGAGCATGTTGTGTTACAGATAGGCTATAATATCAGCCCTTTTTGGCCAAAAACATCTAATCTTTAAATAGTCACTTTTTACTTTTTACCACATGCTGCAAGTGACAGTATATTTATTCTCTCCCCCCCCCCCCCTTCCCTGAATGGAGCTCGGAAAACCCACACACCGAAGACCACACTGCCACATTTGCTCACTATAATCTTAGTTTCCCTGCAGTTCAACCCACTTCCTGTTTTGACAAGGAGGCATGAGCACAATGCTCAAGAACATACACTGAAGCTATAACAGAAGGAGAAGAGAGTATTCAGTGTGAAGAAAGTGGTATTCTACAGACCAAAAGCCTTTAGTAAGGTTTTCTTTCACTGCATGTACCGTAAGCGCATGTTTTGATGTCCACTCAAGAATATAGCATGTAAAAGAAATGATAGGAACAAATATGTCTGACATCAATTACAAGATTAAATACAAAATACACTGCGTGCCTTGTGATTATTGAGCAAGCAGTTCGATCGAATGATCAGGAGGTCTCCTCCCCGCTGCTACCTAAAGGTTTACCATACTATTAACCCAATTTTAAAATCTCAATCTGAAGGCAAATCAACAAGGAAGATTCCAGATACCCTGTTCAACCTCCGAAGAAAATATAATTAGGCCACCTAGAACAGTGACACCAGCCAGATGTCACCTGCAGACCTAGAGGGGTAAGGGCGATGACAGCAATGGCACAATTTTATAAACCAGTCGGCACTCAGGTGATATGGTCAATATAAAGCCAGCTTTACTTCTAAAAACATTTCTTTGTGCTATTTTTTTATACTGATTCAAACTGAAAGCACAAGTCATTTTACATAGGGATTTAAACCTATGACCACCGAGCAAGCCTGGTCACTGCCCTACCACTGCATCACACCCCCCCCCCCCCCTGACCATGTGGGTTCTAGGGCTCCACATAGGGGCGGGAAAGACTAGACCCACTGCCAAACCTCCCCAAGCATGTCATAAAGGCATTTATTTGAGGTCTTGCTAAAATCGTATGTTTTGGGTCAAAAGCTGCAGATATTGCAGCCTATCTCTTCGAGTGGGTTCCTGGGCCTCACGGTGGGGGGAAACAAAAACAGTCGTAAGAGTCGACTAGCTGGGAGCTTCCTTCAAAGTCTGTGAGGCAAGGAAACAACAGTCTGGACAGAAATAAGTCAGACCTGTGTTGTGTGCAATATATGGGTATATGAAAGGGAAGTTCATTATTGAACGTAAACACTTGGTGCGGTGCAGGACACATTGAACGCAATGTGAAGAGAGAGAAAAACGGTTGGCTCCAAGTCCCGGGAGAGGAAGGATGCGGTGATGTAGGTTCTAGTCTGGGTGTTGCCAGACTAGTCCTGCACACCCGCATGTTACGCTGGCGGTAGGCATACAGGCTATCGGCGAGAGATGCCACAGAGGCCGGGCCAGCGTGACAGAAGCTCGTGTGGTGAGATGGGAGATCTCAAGTACGTGTCAGGCCGCAGACGGAAGGTCTGGATAATCTTCACAAAGTATTGTGCATCGGCCTGTATGATCTTTCTAGTGACAGTGTACCCAAGGGATGGGTGTCATAGAGACAGACACGTACTCACGAGCAGTGGGTTTGCACAAGCAGGTAATGTTTGCTCGTTGTTAACCACAGAACAGGGTGGCAGTGGAAGTCGTCCAGAGCGTCCGGAGTGTGTGTTGCCTTGCCAGTAGGAATGACTGTGGCAGTATAGAAATTCATGTGGATTCATTGTTTTGGTTTTGAAATACATTAATTATATTTTGACGTTCAACATGTATCCAGCGTCCTTTATTGCTGTTGGGCGGGAGTGGTGACTTTGATCTGTAACACTATTAAGCATACCTGGATACTTGGCAAGTGTGCGGTGCATCAAGCGAGCATTTCGCACGCGTCAACCTGTAAAACGGATGTGCGTGCAACAAGTAAACACTCATAACTTTCCACCGGGGTTTACAGCCGGTGAATGCAAATAAGAAGAAAAAGAGCAGCCTAGCTGTAAACTACAACATTATATGCCAACTGCCTTTTTAATGGAAAATGCAGAAGCGAAAGAAGAAGAGAAGGAAGAAGAATAGGAGGAGGAGTAAGAAAAATAAAAAGATAATGCTACCACAGCTGTCATACACAGCAAAACAAAATTAGGTACCTTCAGATGTGAAATGATGATATGTCGATGCATGGCAAACTTCCTCCGAAACTGAGAGGGGCAGACTCGGCACTTGAACTGCACATCATTAAAGTTGTCATACATACATGAGATCTTGGCATCCAACTCCTCACTTCCCAGCGAGTGAGCACAGCTACTGTCATTTCCAGGACCAGGGGATCTCTGTCTAGACCTGCTACTATCGCTGCTCGCTTGATCGCTCAGTTCATCAGATGCAAAGGGAACATAGCTGCCTTCATCAAGGCTGGCTTTACGATTTTTAATGACGTTGAACTGGGACAGGAAGAGAGAAACTTTGTCTTCAACATCGACTCTAAGGTATCGAACACTCAGTGGTTTGCCAGGATGGATTTTCTTTATATGATCTATCATCTTATATTTTTGTAGGCCTCGGTGAGGACAGAACGTACACTTCCATAAATAAATGTTCAAATGCCGCAAGATATGAACATGAATGAAGAACTTCTTTGGGCGTTCAGTCCCACAGATCAAACACTTCATCTGGGTCCCATAATTCTCGTATAAACAACGAAGTTTTGCATCCAAGCTGGCACTGCCAACAACACAGCTCTCATCTGTTGGCTCCTCAGACTGTTCTATTGCTGAAGCTTGAACAGGATAGGACTTGTGGCCCATAACAGAAATTTCTGGATGGTTCTGCTGTAGGTGATCCACCATATCCTTTCTAAACATTGTGGCAAAGTCACACCTCGAACATAAAGTAGGTTCATTAAAAACCTGGTCATCAGGAAGAATCAAAACATCCTCCTGACTATCAAGTCTAGACCTATGTGTTTTTGACTTCTGCGGCAGGCCTTCACTTGCTCTGGCAAAGTTGTCAATGTCTTCATCACCCCCAATCACCTGGACCTCTGGATGTAAAGATTTAATATGATCTACAATGTCACTTCTTACGTAAGAACTGTAACTGCACCTAGGACACTGCAAAGATATTGTAAAAGTTTCTTCCCCTTCAGGTAAAACAAAGATCTGCTCGTAAGATGATGACAATCCATTTGCAGCAACAGGTGACCCAGAATTCAACGTTGACATCATTTCCTTCTGAAGTGACTCCTCAAGCTGATCCAGTGACTCCTCCACCGATGTCTCAGCAAAAGACTTGTCCACATCTGCAGTGTCAATGACCACAATTTTTTTCACCAGCGCGATGGATTTTCCTGGATGTTTGTCAACCAGATGCTCGTACAGAAGCTCTCTTGCTGTGGACATGCAGCTACAGTACCTACACCTGAACATAACCAAAGTTATCTGACCAATCTCCGAATGTCTTTTCACGTGATTCTTCAGGTCTGCTGCTTTCGGCAGGAGATATTTACAGATGGGGCATTTGAACTTTCTCATCTGATTCTCCATTATGTGCCCCGACTGAAGAGCTGCCTGTTGGGACACCATTCTGTTGAAGATTTCATTCCTTTCTACAATCTGGGCTGGTGTGAAAACAGGACTGTCCGAAGAGCTCTTAGACTTGGAATTTTTGGCACTTGCTGATGGCTTAGTAAAATCAAACGAATCCCCGGGAAAGCTTCCTGGAGAGGACAAATTCTTGAACAAAGATGACGATGATGAAGATGGTGAGGGAGCTCCGTGAGATGGAGCTGGTGATGCAACAGGTGTGTCTGTTGGCATCAGGTTTTCAATAGTGAAGTCAGCCTTGTCTTTGAGGATGTTGTGCATTCTCTGGTAGTGGATGGTCATGTGAATTTTATGTCTGGTCATATAGTCACACCTTTCACACTCCAGCACTCGTGATTCCAGTGATCTGGACACTACAGTGTACTGATCCTCCAGAGGCCCAAATCCTCTGTGTTTGCGGTCCCTATTGCAAGTTATATGTCTGACTATGATATGCTTCTGATTACTATCAAACTCACATTTCTTACAGCGATACAACAGAAATTTAATGAGACCCGGATGGCATGTGATGTGCAGTCGAAACTTCAACTCGCTGTCAAAACCCTGCGGACAAAACATGCACTTAAATCTCTCCTTTTTTGTAGGAGGCATTCCATGTGATTTTTCATGACAGTGCATTCTCTTTGAATCTCTAGCGATGAATGTGCAATGCTTACATCTATAATTTTCTGCCTTTCTTTCACTCATTGGCACATATAACCTCCTTCGGATTCCATTTTCATCTACAATATAGGCACTTCTGGAATCTTCCCCAGCTCCATCCCCAGACTCTTCAGCTTCTTCATTAACTTCTTCCTTCACCCTCATGGTCTCAAAATCTGAAGACTCGGATGCTGGACTCTTCCCACTTTCTGGTGTGGCTGCCTTGAGTCTGTCAACGAGCGGCATCTCCTCGGATGCTGACATCTGGACATCCCTGGGGCTAAGACTTGACACTAATGTGTTCACATCAGGCAAAAGCCTTCCAGTGATCTTCTCCCCTGGCAGTTCATGGCTTTTCAACATTTGGTCACTCACTGATGCCCCAGTTGCAAATGGTGCAGGAGTTAAGGCAGGAGGCAGCATTTCTCGAAGATGCACTATTTGCTGGTAATTGTTAATTTTCCTATCATAACATATCAGTTGTTTTGCAACAGAAACCATTTTGGGTTTACCTGGGTGAGCTGAAGAAATGTGGGTCAGAATAGTTTTTCTGTCCGTTGCTTTTGAAGAACAATGTGGACAATTGACAATGTGGATGACATTGTCTTCAACGTGAGCCTGAAGCATCGAAGCCTCAGAAAAAGTGTCCCCACAAGAGTAACACATCGGCTCAAGAATATCCGAATGTGAAGTCTTGATGTGGGTGATGTAATCCCCCATCATGTTGGTTCCAAATCTGCATCCAGAGTTTCCACAAACATACAAAGATAGGGAGCTGCTGTGTGTATGGGTGTGGTTGGAGATGTGTCTGACGAGATCCGCTTCATTGGGGCTGCGATGGCCACAGTAGAAGCAAGGGAAATAAGTCTCAGTGGAGTGAATGTTCATTGTATGCTCTAGGAAATCATTTGTGCCCAAGCTGCTGAACAAGCAATTAAATCCACAAACAAAGAAATTTGAATTTTTTACAGCTGATTTCAACCCTGAACCAGCTGCCTGGTGTGTGCTGACAGGTAAATGGAACGGGGATGGCTGTAATGGGGGAGGTGGGAGCATGGCAGTACAGCTATTATCACTTGATTTGAAAACAGGCCTGTCAGGGCCCAGAAAGGACAAAATTTGTTCTTTTTCAACGGGTGTAGACAAGAAGAAGTTTGGCTGGATGACTTCCTCAAGGATGGTCTTTCTTTTCTCTGCATCAGATTCATGATGCTCCATGTTGTGCAGTGAAAATGAAGCCACAATTTTCAGACCACAATCAGTCTCAGATTTATGAGGGTTTTCCTCCATGACACTTGGCTCTACATCAACAGTGCTGGTTTCTGAAACTGGGGAATCTAAAGTGAGTGCTTCCTTAAGTTTACACAACTCTTTCCCAGTGTGCTTTTTTTCTGAAACATTTTGACTTTTGTTGCTCTCACTACCTAAAGTATGGTCTTTTTTATCTGATCCAGTGTCGGTACTACCTGACTGTGGCTGATTCTGGCTAACCTCTGGGTCCTTCCCCACATTCTGGCTAACCTCTGGGTCCTTCCCCACCTTCTGGCTAACCTCTGGGTCCTTCACCACACTCTGAATAACCTCTGGGTCCTTCACCACACTCTGACAATCTTCACTGGGACTGTCCTGGCTCGGCAGAATGGATTCTTTCATTTTCTTATCATTACTGCTGGTTTCTCTCATGTTCTGAACACTTTTACCATCATCTTGCTTCTTCTTATCGGGGTCCTTATCTAAGGGAACTTTACCAGCTACTCTTGCCATAAAACTGATGACACCCAAAGAAGTCACTTCCCTGATGAGGGCTTTAGCTTTCTTCAAAGCTCGCAAGGCACAGCTCATTTTTGCTCCATTGTGAGTTTTAACAACATGTCGGCTGATTTCCTTGCGATTAATGAAACATTCCTTGCAGTACAGACACTGGTATGGTCTAACCATCAGATGACACATGAGATGCTCTTCAAAGCTATGACCTGTGCTTGTGTAGTCACACTCCTTACAAGCAAACCCTTGCTTGTTTTTGTCCAACATAATAGTAATCTTCACTTTCTCCTCCTCAACCTCCCCCTCACAAGAATGATTTTCTATCAGCCTTTTGTCTTTCATCACCCTGGAACATTTTAAACACTTAACCTTGATTAGCTTCTCGTTTTCTTGACTGTCACTGGGTATGCTCATTGCTGAAGGACTTTCACTTTTGCAAATCACTGACTCCATATTGGAAACAACTTCCTTATCTGTCTTTAAATCACCGCTGATACTTTTAACCTTAGGACTGATGCCATCATCAAGGGTCTTGGGGCTTAGCTCTGAAGAACCTGGACGAGAACACCCAATGGATGTACCAACACTCTCAGCACTATCTTTCCTTCTCACTGACTCTGTCGGTCCATTTACACAGTCACTGCTGTCTTCACCTCTAGGATCAACTTGCTTACAAATCTCCATCTCTAAACTTTCTTCATTTAGTGCAGCAGTGATGTCTGGTGTTCCTATTATTTCTGTATCTATCACGTCTAAATCTTTGTTTCCGATAGCCTCCATTTCAACTTCACTTTTGTTATCTTCATTCAAAGAACCATGCTGGTTAGTAGCACACACATTTGTATGGTGTCTTGAAACACCTTCGGACACCCCTGAACCAACACCAGCTTCATCAGGAGCAGGTTGTACCACACTCAAACATTCAGTATCATTCTGATCACCACCATCAGCTTTCAAGTTACTGTTATCCTTTACTTCGCAAAATGCATTTTTATTATGATTCTCTTCATCATTAACTACATCAGCACTTTCAGCATTCTTCTCTACTGCTGTTTCTGGTAATATATTCTGCTGTCCTTCTTTCAGAGTTTCACTGTTTTTTATTTTGTCTGTTTGTTCTAGACACTGTTTATTGACAGTGTCTAAATTCTCCTGGCTGTTTACACCTTCCAGTGTCAGTTCAACACCAACTGTGCTGGCTGTTGGTATATCTGTCTCCATCTTAGCCACAATTTTTAATCAACGTGCCAGTTTGGATATCTCATCAATAGATTACCTGTGAAATTAATTTTTAAAAATATGTTATAATTGCTGTCTGTATGTGATTTTCATTTATGTAATTTCACAAAATTTATTCAGATTATTCAGTTCTATGTACACTCTTAAAACATCAGCTGGCCGATTATTTAAAAAAAAAAAGTAAGTAAAGTTGGGAGATGTGAACCAGCGTCATTGCCGCAGTTGTAAACAATAAGTGCTCTGCCACCATACGGAGGCCTGTGTCGCCGTCTGCATGAAACTTCGTATCTACAGAGTGTTAACTCTGGTATCCATTTCCTAGAGGCTGGGTGAACCCCAGGAACATACAAGCTAAACAGAAAAATGTATGGACACAAGCATACATACTCAAAAACAGCTACACAAAAATATACAACATGCTAACCTTAACATTCAAGAAAATAACCCAAAAGATATACACCAATAAAGCAGCTAGCTACACAAATAACTTACTATACAAATACACAACTGCACACTACAACTACATAAAAACTATATTTTACACACATATATACATATATAATTTTTTTTTTTTTAAACAATGACAAACACTAAACAACTGCACAAGCTATATGCAACAACACAAATAACAAAAATTTAAAAAATGTCTAGTTAATCCTCCTATAGTGATGGATTGATTTATAAATCCACTGCACAGATTAACTGGATGGATTTCTCCAGTATTCATGTTTACTGCAGATGCTGCTACCAAGATAAACTCATCCCATTGCCAAGACGAATTCATCATTAACCCACATTGACAGGCTTGCTTACAGGTAAAGCTTCTGTGAACAGCAAAAAAACGATGGACCAGGCCAATATACTAAACACTTTAGGAGACTAAGATGTCTGTGAGAACTAAGTACAGTGCAGACGGCTTTAGGCAATCTCGCCTGTGGTGAATATCTAATGTGAAAAACAATGTTTATCCCGCAGCAATTACCATATGCTTGAACTCTTATCAGGACAGGAATTTCTGATAAGAAGTACTATTTCTTGAGCATCTGGTGAGTTCTCCTTATCAGGTTTGCACTGTAAATCTGCTACTATGATCAGACTCCAAAACCAACAAGTAAACACAGTGAGGTCAGACAAAAGCACTAAGCAGGAAGAATAATAAACCAGTACACAACTCGAGTCATCAGCAGCGACAGGCTGTGGGATTTAACAATGAAGGCATCCCAGCACTTACAGAGTGAACAGTTTTATGTGCAATAAGGATGATCTGTCGACTTACTAACAAACACCTCTGATATCACTGCCAGGATTAACTCATACAGTACTAACAAGTTTCTTGAATGGGTTTTGGGGCCTATTTTTTGAAACAAGGAAAACAACCCCAACAAGCACGTCGTAAGAGTTGACAAATTATGAAAGTTTGCATCTGCCAAAGAGGCAAGGAAATAATAGCATTCATAAATATAAACCAGATCTGTAAAACGGATGTGCTTGCAAACCTCGGATCTGGATAAAGACTATAGGTCCAGAAGTGGATAAAAAACCTGAACTTTCTGTCAGAGTTTACAGCCGGTGAATGCAAAAAAGAAAAAAAGAAAAGTACTACCAAACCAGGCTCTATTTGCTTGTTACTAGACTTTACTCTTTGAGTCTCAAGCACATATTGGATTCTTTCACTTTCACATTTGGTCAGAGAATGCTTGTGAAATCTAGCTTCCTGTGTGATTACTTCCAGGCACTGTGCACTTTGCTTTATAAAATGTATACACTTGTGATTATTTATAGTGACTACTGAGCCTCTTGGGAATATATGCAAAACTTGCTAGGACTCAAAAGAGTTGCATGATGAATTTTCTGAACTCTGTGTGCTCAATCCAGTTGCTACATTAGCCTACTCTGCCCGAACTACGATTTTAACTCTGCTGTCCCATAATATGATTTAACAGATTACTCAAGTTACTGGAGACTTTTTCTTTTTTGGTTGCAATTAAAAGGCTGGTTGCCATATTGTGTTGTAGTTTACAGCTAGGGTGCAACATCTGTGTCTTTCAGCCAAACAGATGTGATTTCAGCGAACCCCGAATCACTTTTTATGATATGCTTGTTATGGGACAGGGGAGTCCATTCTTCTCCCTTCCTACACCTCCCCAAAAAAATTGCAGCTTCATAACCCAAATGTGGGTGCCTGGAGCTAAAAAAAGTTACACTTAAGTTTGTCACATCTAATCTGCCTTAATTCAATGTGCTCTGCTGGTTGGTTTCTGTATTGTCTGGTTTACCATAATGGAACTAAAGTCAGTGCTTTGTGTGTGGCATTCTCGGCAGATGGCAAGTTGTCCATCTGTGGAGGCAAGCTGTCATATGGAAGGTGCACTGTCCATCTTCACAATTCAGAAAAAAATGATAAACAGTAAGGCTGTGGTGCCATCAACAATCAAATCAAAACACCCCCTGAGAAAATGATGGACAAAATAAACATGAGAAGTCACTATATGTTAGAGGTTTGTTTGTTTGTTTTAGTATCCAGAAGCCATAAGTTGTTAACCCTTAGACTCGTTATTATGGATATCGCAACCTTTTGGCCTTGCTTCCATTGTAAATACCGTAAATTTGGGAGAAAATGTGGCTTTCCTGCCTACCCCCGGGATTGAACCCGGACCACAAGGAGTTCGTCACCCGGGAGAGGTAAACGAGACGTTCGATTTGGTTTAAGTTACACTAAAATTAAGCTTCATTGACTAGAAAGAAGCTAGCCTTTTACAGCCCATGTGAAGTTAGGACAATCTGTTTGAAAAGGAATAGAATGTGTTACTAGGCTGCACCAGCAAGACCATACTCCTTAGGAGTGACCATTTGGAGTTAAGTTTTTAAAAATCTACCCAAAAAGTATTTCAGGATCCTCGCTGGTGCTACGGAGTTCGTACACTGCGCTGAGATTCTTCAGATTCAGACTTGAGTTAGAAGTAGAACGGAGCACCTACGAGTTTCTACCCTTGTGCCATGATGATGTTGATCCGGTGTTGAAACTACTAGGAGTGCCCAACTACGTCACATATCGTGGGCGAAAATCTCTCAGCATGAAACGAACGTAAACAAAAAATCTCACTTCTGCTTCCACAGAACATCGACGCCGACAGCTTCAAACTCCTCTGTCTAACGAAAGAATCACAATAAACCCATTTAACACGATTTAACAACCAAAGACGACAATACACAGCCGCGCAAGCACAGAAGAACGAACAAACAAGCTGTACCGTGTCTGCCAACGGTCGTGGTGTCGCGCGGTAAAACCCACTGGCCAAAGGAAATAACAGCAGGAGATAAGTGGCGTGTCAGAGCCCAGACACTGCTGGCTGCTCTCCAAATCTCTTTGTACACGTTCATAAGCCAAGGTCTAAATGAATCAAGTGGTAACGGCAAGATAGCCCTGAATCGTTTGAGAACGGCGTCATCTGCTGGGCTTTGGATGTGTTAGTAGGTCTTGGTGTAACGCTCTCGGCTAGGCTGCTTCCTCGCTGGAACACGCAGGCTGTAACTGTTGGCAAGGACGAAAACGCTAGCCGGCTGCCTGAATGTGTGTGTTAGCCGAGTCTTAAGTAGTTCCTGAGCTATTGTAGCGTCGTTTGTGCACTGGCTTGTAAGTTCGGTCTCTAATAAAGAGGGATAGGAATTCCTTATGTCAGCTCCCTGTCTGACTGACAAAAGGGTTATATTCTCTGTTAGCGGTGGATTTTTTATCCCAAAAGCAATCCAGTCGTAAAGGCGATTCGCAGTAGATTGTTCTATAAAGGAACGGACAACAGGAATGAGCTAGTTTGCGTACCGTATGTTGGCTTTGTGTC